CTTGTATTCTTAACACAAATATAGTAATCTAGACTGAAATGCAAATAGTGTTGCTAGAATGATTTAAGTAGTGTTTTGAAAAGCCGTGTCTCTTGTACTTCCAAAATAGATAAACCATCTCAAGTTTAAATGTATCATAGCTTCCAAAGAGCAAATTGCCCTTTGTCAGTAGGTGTCATGTTTCTGGACTTCTGGAAAGCAGTGTTAATATTGGAGGCTGGCTCTGTGTCAGCTTCTGCTGATGGAATCTGCAGTAGCTTCCTATAGATAGTAAAACCTCTAATAGTAAAATCTATTCTTGCCAGAAAGAAAATCTAGTGATCTGAGCCAGCTCCAAGCTTTGCCTTTTGCTTTTAAGAAAGGTCATGCATCATCCTGCTTCACTTATTTGGGGCTCCCAGATCTTGTCTTGTGTTTGGACCCTGCTTGCCCTCTTTGTTGTCACTTGGATGACATCTGTAGAATTGTTTAGGCCAATGTCTTCTATAGAAACACATTTTTCCCCCTGTACTTTTTATCAGAATGTTAATTATTTCAGTATGAAGTTGCATGTTATGTATTGATATGTATTTCTTCTAGAGCCAAATCCTGTTTCTGTCAAAGTCAGTGGAAAGACTCCTGTCACTCTCAGAGGAAAATTAATCTTCCCCCTCCACCCCCAGTTATGCTTTTCTTTTGTTTTACACATTTTAAAAAAAAAACATGTCTGCCTTCAAAAAAAGAAATGGGAAATCATAATGCCTTCAGAGTTTCTGGTCCATCAACCTCCTTATCTTCTGTGCAAGATAGAGTTAGAATCATAGAATCATAGAATAGTTAGGGTTGGAAAGGACCTTAGATCATCTAGTTCCATCCCACCTGCCATGGGCAGGGACACCTCCCACTAAACCATGTCACCCAAGGCTCTATCCAACCTGGCCTAGACCACCGCCAGGAATGGAGCATTCACAGCTTCCCTTGGCAATCTATTCCAGTGCCTCACCACCCTAACAGGAAAGAATTTCTTCCTTATATCCAATCTAAACTTTCCCTGTTCAGGTTTTAACCCATTACCCCTTGTCCTGTTACTACAGTCCCTAATGAATAGTCCATAGGCCCCCTTCAGATACTGGAAAGCTGCTATGAGGTCTTCACACAGCCTTCTCTTCTCCAGGCTGAACAGCCCCAACTTTCTCAGCCTATCTTCATATGGGAGGTGCTCCAGTCCCCTGATCATTCTCATGTCCCTCCTCTGGACTCGTTCCAACAGTTCCATGTGATTTTTATGTGGAGGACACCAGAACTGTACACAATACTCCAAGTGAGGTCTCACAAGAGCAGAGTAGAGTGGCAGAATCACCTCCTTTGACCTGCTGGTCATGCTTCTTTTGATGCAGCCCAGGATACAGCTCTAGATGAAAAGTGGCAAAAGGTCACGTCTGGAGTTCTTATTGATGCAGGCGGAAGTTATATTAACTAGCCATGATTAATTCAAAGAAAACATGAAACAAGCTGTATCATACTCTTATTAAAATAACTGGAGTCCTCCTTGCAGAGAAACACTAATGGAATGAGTGTTACGTCTGGATTCTCAGCAATTTTGCATAGATCTTTCTCTTAGAAAAAATTCCCTTTTCTAATTCCTCTATGCTTAAATATGGGTGATTAAAGACTACTTAGTTTTTCACCTTTGTCCTGAATATAGAAGTACTTTTCACATGTTGTTTCTCTTGGCAAAGTTAGAAAGGAAGTGAAAGGAAAGAGTGCCTCATTTGGAGTAATCTTAAGAAACTGTGCTAATTGGTGAACAACAGATACACTGGGCTGATCTCTGCAAGTATCAGTGTCAGCTTCTCTTGGACTCAAGAAAAGGGCTACAGTGCCATGGCAATAGATGTTAACAGAATTCAGATGAAAGACATGTCAGTGCCTGCTTATTCCTGATTGCAGAAGGTCCATGCAATAATTAAAATTATATATTTGTATCTAATCAGATCTTGAATATAATTGCCTTCAGGATGTTGTCTTCAGCTATTTACCTTCTATAGATAATGTCTACTCTGGCATTTTGCTGCTGCTTCAAAAAACCACCCCACAACCAAAGAGGAAAACTGTAGTTTCAAACTCATGAAATTGTTGCTTTGTTCATGCTCTGTCATTGACCAGCTGTTTCATAACTGTCCAATGTGAATGGATAGAATTTTACTATAAACTGAAAACAGTAAAGTTCACATCAAGCCTTTGGCTACCACTGTTGGGAGTAGATAGGCCAAGCAGTACAAAGCAGTGAAGGCATTGCCCTCTCAGATTTAAAACAACAGGTTTTTATGAAAGCATACAAATGCTTTTGGAATCTGCCCTATTATTTCAAAATAGAACAGATTTTTAAATTGTTTATCACAGTGTTTGGTTGTCCATTTCTTAAAAATGGTCACTGCACCTTTTGGAAATTGTAATTTCTGCAGACTCCTCAGGCTGTAAGTAGTGGGCATCACAAGAACAAGGAATTGTTTTGCACTGATTTATATTTAGTGTAACCTAATTATTCTTAAGTGATAGGTGTCCCTGCTCATGGCAGGGGGTTGGAACTAAGTGATCTTAAGGTCCTTTCCAACCCTAACTATTCTATGATTCTACGATATTTGGACTTGCCTTATGCATCTACATTTTAGACTCTGCTGATAATTATTCCCATTGGTCTTGTGAGTACAGAACAGTTTCTTCCTCCCCTAGAATTTATTTATCCGTCATTTTGTCTCCATGGAAATAGGTGACAAAACCCACCAAAATTTCCACTGAGTTGTCAATATATTAACTATATTGAAATAGCCAGTATTTCCATAATGTTTTCCTGAATCATTGTGTATTTGGGCTAAAATACTAGAAGCAAACAGTAAATTCTTACTGATTTCCTGGTTGATTTATTTGTGGGGGATTTTTGGGTTTTGTTTGTTTATTTGTTTGTGGGTTTTTTTTAACAAGAAGACTCTAGTATGTGTTTAGAAACATTGAGAACATAGAGGAAAGTAAGAACACAGAGATTAGGTGGTTAGTTATTTTCATTATTTTAAGATGATTGTTGATTCTCCTTGTGGGTTTGATGTTTGTTACTTCAGTCAAAAAGATGAGATTGTTTTTTTTGTCATTGCTGCCACGTATGATCTGTGTTTTCAGACATCTGTAGGAATCTAGTGCATTTTAGATATGTAACTCTTGTGAGCAGGACTTTCCTCATGACCAAAAGACTACCTGCTGTAAGAAAATCAGAGCAAGGTGCTAGGCATCATAGAAACACCTGCAAAAAGAAAACCCATCATAACAAAGTAGTGCTCATCTGAAAGAAAGCATCATTTAGGTGGACAGGCTGAAAAGTAGGGGGGCAAATAGAAATGTTAACAGATGAGACAGTAACTGTTCTCATATATAACAGATGTGTGAAAATTACATATTTTGTTATACATAATTACATATTTTGTTATATATTTTTTATTACATATTTTGTTATATTCTGTCACACTCACAGAAGAATTTGTAGGGTCAGTGCAAGAGAGCAGAAATTATGCTTTGATGGCTATTTTGTCTCTTCATTTAGGTTGTTTGGGATTTTTACATTTTAAAATTTTTTTGTTATTTTTTATTTCATTGCTGCAGTGACTGGGGTCACTAAGATTTCAGCTCTTAGCTTCCATAAACCTAATGTCAGCATTTTCAAATATGTTCCCTCAAAATAACATGCCTTCTGGTTTTCCATTTTCATTCTGTTTTCAAAGAAAGCCACAGCGGTGTGTGATGGGAAACAGACACATGGGAATTCTGTGATTTTTATTCTGAGAGCAGATCTTCCCTGTGTTTTAAATGCAGCATTGTATTCAAGTCTGATGCAAATCCTAACAATGCTCTTCTGAGCAAGTATTTTACTATGGATGCAGTTTGATACTAGGAGGCTATATTATCAAATCTAGTCTTTCATTATAGGCCTTGCTTCTGGTATTGGAAAAGATAGGAAAACTTAACTTTCTGAATTGTTGTATCAGAACCTTTTTTTCCCCTGTAGAAAAAAAGTGGCTCTTTCTTTTTTTTAAACTAGTTGATGAAAGCTTAATGAGGCAAAAGTTGGAAATGATTGGGATGAGGAGAGGTTTCAGTCTGTAGGCTACAGGAAAATAGAGAGTGGAGTCAAACTTGTAAAAATAGCAATGTAGCAAATAAAGTTAGTGTGTATGGCAGTATTTTCTATTTATCAAATCTCTGTAGCTGAAATTTTAGAGTGGAAAGGTTTCTCAGCTTTATTTCAGTTATGGTTTGCATCACTCGAACCCACACCAGTAGCTTAAGTTATTCTTGGAGAAAAGTTTCAGTGATGTTCCGTATTTGTTGGAATATAAAATATGTTCTGTATTATTGCTTTCCGTTTGTATGGATAACTAATTTAGAATTACGTAGTGGAGTCTGCTTTTTCCCTATTAATTACGCCAAGTTGAAAGAGTCCCCCGCACAAATAAAACTGGAACTTTGAAGGTCGAATATATTTAATATATTTAAAATATACTCATCATTTCAGAGGATGACAGTTAATGCACAGAGAGGAACATAATCTTTTAGGCAAAAATCTTATATTCTTTTTGGGGAACTGTATTTTGCTGAAATTCCTGAGAGTCAAATAGCTGTATAAATGTCACTCACTGCAGGCGGGGGGGGGGGGAAGAAAAACCACACAAAAAAAAAAAAGTAAGGAAAATGCATTTGAGAATATTACAATTCTGTGTGCTTTCAGAAATTATATTTGTCAAGTTTCCTAGATTAATTGGAATATAGTTGAAGCCAGGCTGACTGGTAATCTGTGATTAGCATATACACTCAGTCCTCAGTGAGTTTAAAATCCACTATAAATTTCTAAGTAGAAAAGATTTGAATTCTTAACGTGGAAAGCAAACTTTTCCTGAGAAAAATACCATGGGATATTTTGTATAAGATAATATCACCAGATAGGTTTATTTTTTTCCTTCATGGTTATCTTTCAGCGAGAAAATAGTCTGAAGATGGAATTCCCATCTACTTCTATAAATTAAAAGTTTGTGGGAAAAAAAACCCCAAAACCAAAACAAACCAAACAACATAAATACCCTTGCAAGTGGAAACTCGCTTTACAGTCGCCTATCTGGGTTGCTCCCAAATAGGGCAGAGAGTGTCTTGCAGATGGGAGAGGTAATTAACATTTCTGAGAAGCCTGTAATGCTCCAATGAAAAATGTATTGCTTTGCTAAGGTTCCTGTCAGGGCTGTATCCTTTTCTGTCCCTCACCACCCTAATTCATTACTCCAAGGGAACATTTCCTCTTCTCTGCAAGTAGTAGATGTGATGCTTTGGGAAGATTTCTATATTCCTTACCAGACATTTAAAAGCAGGGCTTGTAGAAGCTTTCCAGCTCATTAAACAAATTTAATGAACTTATTTAGTCCTCAGGCCTGAGGATGGCAAAATTCCATTCTGTGGAGGTGGCAGCCTGGTCAATCTTCAGCCTCCTCTTCTGTGTGCTTCCCCTTCTCCTTTGTGCCCAACCTTCTTGGAGGGATGCCTGACAGCTGCATGGTCTTTTTCCCAGAGCTTCTCACACAGCCTCTGCTTTTCTGGTTATTTTTGCTGTCCCTTTTGAGACCTTAGACAACTACTGCTTTTGCTGACTGTTAAAATTAATGCATGAGATCAGCCCTGTTGGGGACAATATTCTCCTACTAGGAGACAACCATTTGAAACACAGTATGTGCTGGGAGAGTATTTCTTCAGGGGTGAATGCCCAGCTTCTGTGTAAAACTGTCTGATACTATGTGTTAATTGTTTCTATCGAGAAGGAACATATGGTATTGATTGGTATCATGAATTAACTACTCAAATGAAACAAAAAGAATTACTTTTCATTGATTCATGTCTGCAAGGATGCACATTTTAAAGATATATTTTAAATTAAGGGTTTAAAATAAATGTAGGTAACTGTGGCCTAGACAAAAGCTGACCCTGCCGAAAGCATTCTGTAGCTTGTCACAAGATGGTGACATCATTCACAACATACAAATAAATGCCTGCCAAAATTCGTCCAAGCACAACATCTGCAAATTTTCTTTTACACGAGAAAGTTACTGAAATAATATTTTAAGGAAATTTGTAACTAGGGAGCTTTTATCACAAAGGCTTTGATAAATCTGTAAAAGATAGAATGAAACAAATTGCTCTGTTAAATTATTTGTTAGTTTAAATGTAAAGCAAATAAATAAGATGATCTTAGCTGAAGTATTTTACAAAACTATTTTTATTTAATATGAGTAGAAATAGAGATTGCACACTGGTGGAAATTTATTGCAAAAATAGGAACTGACATTTCCATTTAGGAAATGTCCTTTTAGGAACACAGCAATAAAGATGTTCAAGACTTATCACTGATAATAAGAAATATTAGTACTCTATTGTTTCTCTAGATTTTCACCTGGGTTTAAAAATGCTAGTTTCCCCAGACATTTAGATTTATTTCTTCCTCTCTCTCTATTAGTATTATTATTTCTTATTATTATCTTCAATTATTAAACTGTTCTTATCTCAACCCACAGGTTTTAAACTTTTTTCCCATTCTTCCCACCCTACCAGGGATGGGGTGTCTGGAGTGAGTGAGAAGCTGTGTGGTACTTGAATTGCTGGCTGGGCTCAAACCACAACAGTAAATAAATGGATTTTGCAGAAGCTTCATACACGAAATGGGGATTTCATCAGGGTTCTGAACATATACATATATTTGATTCATATCTGCTTCTGTCCATGGTTTTTAGTCAAAGGAGTGTTGGCATGTTTAGTGGCTGACTGTATAGTCAAAACCAGAAAAATACCATACTGTGTAAAGCCAGTGATCTGTCTAGCCCTCTAGTATAAAGGAGAGCAGTCAGGATGAACATGATTGGGCGGTTCTTGCTATTTCTGTGTAATTGGAAGGAGTTTGGTAGCAGAGGGACCTCAGGGAGACCTCTAAGTGTTCAGGTCAGGGACTGTCCTGGGTCAGACACACCTGACTCTTCAGTGGACCCACTCTGCACTAGATCTGAACCAGTTAGGGAAGTTTGTGGCACCTCTACAAAAAAAATATTTAAGAAAGGGTGGTAGTCTCTAGGCAGAAATTGAGAGACAATGTGAGGGCAGGAGGGACACCTGAGCAGGTGCAAGGGGGAAACAAGAAGTACGCCTGGGCAGGATGAACAGTAGAGAAAGAGTGAGATGCCAAAGGAAACTAAGAGAAAGAAGAGAGATGCCAGGGTTGGAGGGGTGCCTGATCAGGGACAGGACTGCAGAGAAGGCATAGGAGAAGCTACAACCCCCAGAAGGATAGCGGATAGTGGAGAAAGTCACACCAGAGTAGTGGAGTAAAAATCAAGGAGCAGCAAAGGAAAAGGAACCATTGTTAATTGGAATCCCCCAAGTGTTTTGTTGCCTGTGACAGAATGCCCTCTCTTCTTACTTGGCATCTAGAACTGAGGGCATCTTAGAGGGTATATTCCTGCATTGTCTCTGCTTTCTAGGTTTCAGATGATGAATTTGTTGAAGCTTTCTCTGAATCTTGATTGTGTGGTCCCTTGATTGTGTGGTCCCCTTTCAGTCTTCCGCTTTTCCCCTGGAGAAGCCCAGCTTGTTTAGTCTGCCCGTACAAGGAAGCTATTATCCACTTGATATTTTCTATTGCCCTTCATGGGCCTTTTCTAAGTTGATTACATCCTTTTTAGAGGCAACCATCCTTTCCAGGGTGACCAGACCTGCATTCAGCACTCAGGATGTGGATGCAGCAAGATTTTATACAGTCACAAAATTACTTTGTCTTGTTTTCAGTACCCTTTCTGAATGACATCTGATGATCTGTTGGCTTTTTTGGTCACCACTGCCTATGTATTATATTCTAGCTAAATTAATAGTAATTACATTACCGAGTAGGTAGTAAGAGTAGGTGACTTAGACTGAATCCTTTGCAAAGATTGCCTCTCTATGGAAAAGCAGCAAAAAGCCCTGATTTTGAAAATAAAACCTGAGAAAGTTGAGAGGTACATTCAGTACTCTTTGTGAAAGATGTTCTGTTCTCTGTCAATTTCAGTTATAACATTGTGTAGATTAACCAGATGTTTTTTCTAGGTACTGGCATTAAATTAAAACAAAAGCAAACAGAAGAGTTTTGGCCTCCAGCTTCTCAATAAATCTAGTAAGGGAACAAAAACCAAGTATTGTATTCAATTGTTTGTTTCTACACAAATGTTATTCTCTTCCTCAACTTGATTTTGTAATATACTTAGTTTAAAGGGATTTGATTTTTTTTTTTATTGACGTTCAGGCTATTGTGCTGAGTGGAATTATTAGCTTGTCCAGATGAGCTATGTTGATAAAGGTGGGTTGTTTCTTTGTGCTGATACTGAAGAGATTTTGAATAAAAGTGTGCAAGTCTAAAATTTAGGAGAATGCTTGTTTCCTACTTGTTCTAGCCAATGTACTCTTCAGTATACAGGCCCTGTGCCTCCACCCATGTATTATGAAAATTATATGCTGATGTATTTCTTATGAAAGTGTTACATGACCTCTGAACAATGGGTGTTAGTGTTGTTAGTATATGAAACATGAGAAAAATGATAAAGGAAATGCACTCAAATGCCAGAACCGTTTTTTAAGTTGGAGGAATTAATAAAAGTAAGGCTCCAGAAACTTGCCAGTATGTGAATGTCTTGCAGAAGCAACCCAAATTCAACAACCCAAACAAAGCATACATGAGCTTCACTTAAAAGTAAAAATTAGTGAAGGAACCATTGCTCCCTGTGACTCTTCATCTTGTGTGTTTTCTCAAATATAAAACTTCCAGCTATGTATTTTCTCTGTGGTACACTTCCTGCTACCTTGTCCGATGCAGTCTCAGGTATTTTGGGAGGGTTTTTGTACACTGCCTTAATATTCTTCACAGCTATGTCTTTGTATTTTTTTGTGTTTTCTTGAAATGATCTTTAAATGCGCAAAGGTTCTAAGAAGCTTTTGTTTGACTTCTGTACTAATCTCCTGCAGGAAAAATAAAAAAAAGGGAGGTTTTTAAAAAAAGAACCCAAAACAACAGGAAAAAAATGCCATACCACCACCAAACAACCCCGTAAACAAAATCACTAAATAAATAGAAAAGTAGCTTTTGAGTCTTCAAGAACCACAGGAAAACAGTATACAGCAGTTTTTTAAAACTGTACTTACAAGACCTTTCCTCCAGGTGGACAACTACTATTGTTTTAAGGAATATCACCTCAATAGGATGCATTAGTATCTTGTCAGTTACACCTTTTCTACTGCAAATTCTGTTTGCACTGACTAAATAATTGTGGCTCATGAAAGACTTTTCACTGTTAAGGGAAATAGACTTTTGTTTGTTAATTAGTTTCTGACCTGTGTTCCATAGCTATGCTGACATGGAGAGTCTTCTACTTCACACCATTGCCTGTTTAAAGGCTTGGGCTGGCATTGGCTCTCCCATCACTTCTGCACATCATAAATAATCAAGTTTTATTCAAATAAATTCCGTGATAGGAATTGTGGGTGTTAAGACCAGTGGTGCAGTCTGGGGAGTTGGACAGTTAAGTCATTAACAGGCACTTTTAAGCTCTAGGAAATAGATGTTCTGCAAACATTTTATTGTCTTTTTAACCTAGATTGAATTTTCTTTATCCATTACTTTGCCTGAGCATGTGACAAAGTGGCTTATGTGAACAAAGTACTAGGACGAAGTCCAAGTTTGGCTGAAACTAAAACAAGCCAGTAATTAGTGTACTTGCATTCCCATATGGCTCTGTGTGTACTTGCTTGCCCTCTTTGTGAGCTGAGCTGATAGAAATCACTGAATCATGGATGGGAAGACTGCATGCAAAATGACAAAATGGTAAGTCTAAAGATAGGAACAGATGAAAACATCCATTAACTAAGAAATGATAAATTCAAAAACAAAGGAAACAACAATCTCTTGAGACTTCCCCCCATATATATATTAAAAAAAAAAAAGTTCTATATCCATGGAATTTCAGCTTTATATGAATTAGGTACTTCTGGAAACTGTTTATCAGAATTCACAAAGCAAATCCATTAGTCACTAGTGATCATATCCTGTAAGTTGAAAATATTTTTATGGATACGTGTTTTTTTTCTGCAGTCAGTGTTGAGGG